AGTGAAACCCTGTTGGGGGGACATGCTTAGGGACCCAACAGTTTCTACAGAGCTATTTTAGAGAGGAAGGCATAAGCAATGCTGGATTGTGTATGTAATGATGGGCTACACTTGAGAAATCTGTGAGTGTCCCTTCTAATGCTACCCAGCAATACGTTCCCCTTCCTCATATTTTTATTAATTGCAACAGTTGGGTTTCAAGGGCAGACTCCATTTCGTGTATGCTTATTAGAGGCAGAGCAGCCATACTTCCTCATTCTGAAGGTATCGGTTTGTTCCAGCAGGTCTAGGTCTGCAGAAAGCAGACTGACGGCCAGCTGGGAGACCAATCTGCTAGCTGCAAAAGCTTCTGGTTCAGGAAGTGGTATTTCTTTACTAGGCATCATGTTCCCGGCCAATCTGAGATTTTAGTGATATGCCACGTGGTGCAGTGCTGGACGTGCTCTGGTAAATGTGTTTGGCAGGCTTGGTGAGGAAGTGCTTGCAGAAAACCTGTCCTAGCAGGCTGGTGAAATCTGTCAACTTGTGCAAACCACTCTCATTTTGAACTTCAGAGTTTAATCTGAATGTTTCAATCTCCTTCTAATTATGTAGGTGCCAGTTATTGTCCTATTAGGCCTCCCAGATTCCAGATGATTCCCTTAAAAAAAATAAAAATGAAAAAAAGAAGTGTGAAAGCCACATTTTCTTTCCCACTTTTTTTCTCTCAGAGTTTCACTGAGCAAAAATATATCTTAAAATATTCACTTAGAGGTAGTATCAGACATGTCAAAATGTGGAGTGATTCAAGTTTAACTTTTATAACATTTTAATCTTATGATCCTGAAAGATTTTCTGGTAATTTAGTACAATGAGGGAAGTGGCCATGGCAGGGGAGGAAAGCTACCACTGAATGCTCATTCTTTGTCTTTCTCATCTGAAATCTGTTCCTGCTTTCTCCAGTACATAGTTATGCAATGACTTTTTTTTGTGTGGTTCTGTGTTTTGGACAGCACCCAGATGTAGCTGTTGCAAAGAGCAGATGGTTGCTGGAGCTGTGGAAACACTCTGGTTGCTAGGTGGGGTCTCTCTCACAGCGCTATAAAGGCGTCCAGAGCCGCCTTCTCTGTTACTCCTGACAGAGCTGCCTTGAAGAATAGTATTTGTGGGGAAGAAGGTAGGTTTTTGTAGTTCTTTGCTGCTCTCTGTAAACCCGACAAACTTTAAGGATTGTACTCTAAATTTATCAAGTGACCTGGTGCAATTTTCTGTGGGTTGGACTTTCTGGCAAGGGAAAAGACGGGTGTGGGCAGGACAAATTCTTCCAGTTTTGCAGTGTTTTGTGTACATGGAAGGGCTTGGACAATTACTGCATTATGGCTTTTATTTAATCATGTAAGGAACTAAAAAAAAAGCTTAAAAGATTAAAAGCAAACTTATTTGCAGTTGACTGTTTCCTGTGCTTGCTTTTTGCTTTGTAGTAGGCTGCTGTAGAAATTTCCAGTAAATCTGGAGTTCCTGGAAAACTAATGTGCTTCATATGGAAACTTAAAAAAGAAACAGCTGTTGTTACTTGAACAACAGGTTGCTGCTTTGGGACTCTAGAGTGGTCTTTGCTCAAAAACGTGATAAAAATGAGGCAAAAAAATATTTTAGAAACATAAGAACAAAAGCCTGGTTGTGTGACTAAGAACTCAGGCAAAGCCACGTAAGTGATGGCTGTATCTTCTGGGGTTTGTTCTGCTGAAACTTTCCACTGAATTTTCCAAGGATAAGTTTGATTTTCTCTCTGATTTTTTCATTCAGGTTCAGTAGACTTTCATCAATAAATGATTGTGTTAGATGTACCTTATTTTTCTAATAGGGTGTAATGATCTTAATTTACACCTGGTAACTAGCATTGAATGGTAACCAGAGATGATAACTCTGATATGGTTCATGATATGGTTAAATAAGTTTGGAGAAATGGTGTCATTTGACACAAACGTAGTGTAAAAGTCTAGTTTGTGTCTGTAAATATTTTCAAAACATATCGAGTGTTTTTGCACTCATAAAAATTTGCATATGTCCATTTCAAGGGTGTCATGAAACAACATTTAGGGCTTTCAGTCTGGATCTCTTATGTTTCATTTCAGTTTCAATACTGGTCATTCCAATTGGGAATCATAAAATGCGTAAAAATCAAGATATTTTTCAAACCAAGAAATATTATCTTCTCAATCCTCTTTCATTTTAAATGCGATGTCTATACATTTCAGCTTGGGAAATGGTACATATGGCCTGAACAATATGTTATTTATCAGAGTAACTCTCAAATCAGTATTCGATATGGAGTAATAAGAAAGAAACACTACACTTTTCTATGGTACCTTCTGTTTGCACTGCTTTGTAGGTACATATATGTTTTTCCTCTCCCTGTTCATAGACTTTGTCCTGAGCTCAGAAGTAGAGGAAAATACATGGCGGAAAGCCATCAGTTCTTCCAGTCCTTTTCTTACTAAATTAAGATAGTATTTTGAACTGAATTTATCCCTCCTCGATGCTGGTATTGCTTACATGAGCTGTTTGCATTTTAGAGTGGTGTGAGTCAAAGCATTGGGAAAGACCTCAACTCTGTCAGAGGGCTGTCTGTCTTCCTGGATTCCAGTAATCTTTTTTCTTATTAGTCATAGGTTCTTATAAAGTGGACATACAGTTTTATAAGTAAGGTGGTTTCTTAACTTTCTGAGCCAATTCAAGCAAAGTCTTTAGCCTCTCTGAAGAGCCATTGCCTATTTCAACATCTATTAAAGTTGCATTATTTGTTTACTAGATTGAAATAGATGGATCTACATGCCAACGTGTCTTTAAAAAGGAGGGGAAAAAGACTTAATTTTCAAGGCACAGAATTCTTTTACTACATGTCTAATTTAAATTAGGATGGACATGAAGGCTTAGAGGCTTAATAAACCTAATTTTGTGTAGGCTAGCAGCCTTCTGCTCTAGTCACCTCCAACAGCAGCAAAATCTCTAGAGCTGGATGTGAGGGGCTGGGGACAGGCAGAAGAAATGGAGATGTCTTGCTGTAAACGGCTCTCCCTGAGAAGTGTTACTCTATCAGCCCTTCTCATTGTGGTGCTATGAGTCTGAATCTTGTTTCTCAATTTTCAACAATTTTACATTCTATGAATCTGTTAGTTGACAGACATATCTTTACATGTTGCTGTTGGTGACTCAGTACATCTAGTGTGGGAAATTTAAAATGTTTCCATCCTGCTGCATATGACCTTTATGTGTGCTGTTATAAAATGAAGCAGAACTTTAGATGCTACAGCACTTCATCTGGCCTCATAGTTCTTTTGTCAACACAAGAAGGGTACAGGAGTCACTATAACAGCTTGATAAAATGCTGGTTTTAATAGCAAAGTAAGTATGGTTTCTGATACTCAATAAAACACGTGCATAAAAGTTGTTTTTTAAAACTTCCACAACATTCTGACCATTATTTACCCAGATGAGACCTACTTTAAGTAACATACAAATACAGATTGGGAGTCAGTTTCAGTTTTTCTAGCGGTACAGACAGCTGAATTTTGTGCCCTGATGGCATAAAAGCGAGAGTTTTCTGGAGAAGAGGGAGTCTAGGTGGCTTCTGCCTTGGAAAGGGGGGAGAAGGGTGGAGCTGTACTAGAGGGCTGGAAGAGGCCTGTAGGAGGTAGCTGTTGCTTTCTTGGTAGCTGAACATGGAAGGAAGTTTTGCAGTTCTGCTGTGAGGGAAAGAAGCACCTGGGCTGCAGCTGCACTGCTTGCTACTTGGTGTGTGTCACTTTAATGACTGCTCTTTGGCCTTCCTATGGGACACAAGGCATAAGTAAGGCAAGAGTTTGCAGCACATGCAACAGCAATTTTTATACCCGTGTATATGATGCACAGATGATGTATATGTATATGCATATGTATATGTATACGTATATCATCTGTACCCCGGGACCACAAAGGACATCTTAACTCTTCACACTGGATTCAAAGAGACTCTATTTTACCCAGCAACTTTATCTTTTGTTTATTGTTTCTATGTATGCTTTAAAACCAAGCCTTCCATAATTTGCTATGGAAGTATGCTTTGAAGAAAAAAAAGAATCTATTTTGAGCAGATCAAAAATACTTTATCTCATACATTATTTTTTTCTTTCTCTACTCCCTCACTGCTACTATTACCAAACAGAATATTCCTCATACCAAAGGTCTCATGAAGCAATCTATTATTTTAGTGTCCTCAATGTCAAATAACATCACTGGTGGTCTTTTTTCCCATTTTACATGGTATCTTATGGACAACTGGGACTTACTTTAAATGATGAAATGTAAAAGTTATTTTCTCCCTTGTTAAATGAGTAAATGCTCTATTCTTTTGTAGAAATTGTAGGAATTATGTAGGAAATAAGGACCAGTGTAATTGCAACTGTCCTATTTTACTCATTTCCTTTGGAAGGTGCTAGTCAAAGAAATTATGTGAGGGTATATTTAAAAAAAATTGTATCTTTTGTCTTAACACACAAGAGCTCCAATCTCAGTGAATCATCATGACTTGTTTACCACTGAATTTTAACAGAATCAATATTCAGGAAGCTAAATGACTATATCTGATACCTTCACTCATGGGGAGGGACAGACTTTGATTTGTTTCTGTTAACTTCTCTTTGTAAGCCATTGCTAATGCTTAGATATTGCCATAGTAAATAGTCAGATAGTCCAACTAGTTTATTGTTCTATTTCTAATCTAGAACTTCTGCAAGTAGCTAAGAGTGTAGTGGTGAGCAAGCAGTTGTGGAACATTGTGTCACTTGCCAAACATAGAAGTTTCCTGCTTCCAATAGCAAAGGCCAGTTACTTCTTGGGAAACTAACTCCTGAGTATCATAGTTCAAGAGAAGGGATTTGAGAGTGGGAAGCCCTGACTTGCACTAGTGCTGAAAATGATGAAAAATGGCTTATAACTTGATGAAAAATTGTTTGTAACTCGATGTATGTCTTCCCAGAAACTCTGTCAACATGGCTATGGTATCAGAATTTCTGAAACAGGCATGGTTCATCGAAAATCAGGAGCAAGAATGTATTGTAAGTATTACCACCTATTGAGAGCAGCAAGCTTATTTTCAAGTACATTTAGAAGTGATGTACAGGCAGAGGCCACCAAACATCTTTCATATATTCAAGAGGAAGAAAAACAGTGGCAAAAAAATGAATAAGAACTGGAACCTAATTTTATTGCAGCGTATAATCTAATGTAATCTAATAATCTAATAAATCTGCTGTTAGTTGAAAAATTACTCTGATTTGCACATATCAGTCTAGTTATCAATTCCTAGGCAGAACTAGTTCCTGTAATGAAACTGTAATTCCCAGGGGCCAATCACTGGTCTATTCAAGTCATCCTCTTTAAAATAGTGATCTGATGCACAGGCATGTGACTGTGTAAGAACATGTTCAGATGAAGTACACAAGAAAAACAGGGACCCTCAGGCTGAGGTACAGAAAGCCATGAGTTGGAGCCCAGGAATGTAAAGGAGAAACTAAAGTCACTAGTATATGTCCTAGTTTTCATATCATATGTCATGCTTACAGTGGAAAGAGTCACGGTATGTAATAAAGCATCTCAGTTGATTAGTACTGATACTGATTAGAAGGGAGTCTTATGGTGGTAAGAAGTCAAGAGTTAAAAGCACTAGGATGAGATGGACAGTCTTTGTGGTAATGAGGTTGATTAAGATACTGAAATGGCTGTCAGGAAAGGTAGAGCAGAACACTGCGGTGTCCCAGAATATCCTGAAAGATCTTTCAACTTGAAAAAACTGAACATAGAGAGGACATTTCAATAAATAAAATTTTCTGCTCTAGACCCTGGTGGATTTTGTAATTTTGACCCCACAACATTTTGTGCATAAACCTTCTTGCTTCACCATCCTATCCCCCTTGCATTCCCAGCATCCTGAGACATTCTGGTTGTGGTGGTTACAGAAAGTTTGTTATTGCAAGTAGGTAAGCTTGTCCTGGAAATAGGTATACAATGACTAACCTGGTGTGCCTGGGAAACAAGTAGCAAAACCGTCCCATTCCTCTGTTGGCTTATGACACAAGTCGTTATTTTTTTTTTTTAAAATATGCAAGACACTGCATTTAGTGTACAGACCCTCTTCTTTCTTACAAATCCTAGTGATACAATTGTGGAGTTGAATATTTAATTATCAGATGTTAGAAGTGTACAAAACTCAATACAGAATGCTGTATGAAAAACATGTATCAATAAGACCTTCTGTTGTGCTATTTAGCTTTATTGGCAAACTATTTACAAAAAATAAAACGGTGAGTTGTTGAAATAGGAGAAAGTATAGGTGCTTCTGAAAAAGTTTAGCTAAACTACTGGGGTTTTTTAATTTAAAAGTCTCAGCATATGTCATACCACTGGGATTTTATATAAATATTTAATCCGGGAATCTTGGGGCATTTTATAACTTCTGCAAATAAGTAGACATCTGTTAAGAAGTGCTGTTGGATTATAGGCCCCTACCAGTAACTTGATGTGTCATGTTGCTGACTTACGGCAAGCCACATAATCTTCCAATAGTGGAATTCATCATTCCTAGCTATTCCCAGAGCCTTTTAGTCATAGACTGCAGAGTGCCCATCTAGGAGTGGATTCACCAGAGGCAGTCAGAAGATAATGCCTGTGAAGAAGGTGTGGCTTATGTCTCAAGTTTCAAAGAAGTTGGGTAACATTTCTCCACTTTCTCATAGGATTAGGCTTGAACTCTTCTCCAAAGCCTTGCATGCAAGAAGTGCTTGTAGCCTTAGATGTGAATCAGCTGAGATGTCACTTAATGTGATGCACAGTCAATTTGCGTACGATGAGCAAAGAAATTAGTAGCACTTTATTGGCAGTGTCTGTAGGATTTAATTGCTGTTTTAGAGCCTTTAAAATTCGAACATAATTGTCTAACATGACAGTTAAGAAGTGTTTTCTTGTGCAATCCAACTTTAAGAAATAGGTCTTCAGGTACCTAAAATAATATATTAAGTACTTTCTGTTTAACATAAGAGATGTGAAAGGAATGCATTCTATGCATGTCCATTACTGAGTCTGCTTAGTTCTCTGTAGTTACGAAACTGTGTATGTCCCTTGATAGTCCTATAGTAGGCAACCTCAAATATATTATTCATTTGGGAATCTAAAACTACTTCTTTGCAAAAAATATTCTTTGAAATGAACAGTTACTATTTTTATATTCTTTTTTTTTTTCCTCTGCAGAAAAGTTCAAAAGGTGGCCCTGCGGTACAGACATACCCTAACTTTGATCCATCAGCTGATGTTGTTGCTTTGGACAAAGCTATTACTGTAAAGGGTAAGAGTAATAAATATTTAACTTGCTACATTAGGACTCTTCCTCAGGAATTTTTGAGAATGGCATTGAATAAAATATCAGAATGAGAGGCAATGGCAAGTAGGAGAGGTGTCTCTGCTTTCAAAAGCTTGGCAATTCATTAAATTATGCCACTTGGGTGCAGAATCTCAGCTCTTTGATATCCCAATGTTGTATTACAATTTCAGACCTGAATACTACATTAAAGTTCTTGAATATGTTGAAGGAAGGGTTGTAAAAAAATTCAATTTCTAGAGAACAAAAATACATTATAACATACCTTGTTAATATTTTTTGATGTCCATAAAGTCTCTGAAAGAGGCAATGAATATGCTTATAATGTAGTGTATGACTCTATTTTGTGTCTCTTTTTCAATCACATTCTCATTTGGGACTTTGCCTGTACTATGAAACATTTTTCAATTTGACTTACTGAGATTATATGACTGTGCCACTCACTTGGTTTAGGTTTTTCTTTGTTATTCTGCAGTGTAAATTCAGCACTCAGAATACACTGAGACTTTCTGTATGGAACTGTAGAAACATGGGTTTTGGTGTTCTATGGGAATCTATTTATTTGGTTCACTAATTGTAAATCAGTAGATTATTACAGTTTTTGATTTGTTAAACTTCACTATGTCAAGAAATCAAAATCTGACATAAAGCAAATAATAAAACCATAATTATTATTTGGCTAAATGATACACTACAAATCACTATAATATTTTCAGTATATTAGATATTTTGCTGTTTGGTGACTCATAGGTGTGGATGAAGCTACCATCATCAAAATCTTGACTAAAAGAACAAATGCTCAGCGCCAGCAGATCAAAGCTGCCTATCAGCAAGCCAAAGGAAAGGTAAAGTATAATCAAGCCAAGCTTAAATTTTATCCAGAATATCAGTGTTGCTCCTGGCTCAGATTATATATAAAGCTTTAGATTCATGGAATAAAAAATTACAGTATTCTAACTTCTGTAGTTTGGGAACACCATGAAAAAATGATAATACCCTGCAACTATATTGCCAGTGCCAAACCTTTGAATATGTCCACTGTTTTGAAATAAAATGAAAATTTTGAAGTTCTGACTTAAATCACTTGGGAATGCAGAGCTTTCACTAACTACTGGGAGACAGTCTGCTGAGAAAAAGGGAAGGATGGAGAAGCTGTAGGACCATAATGCTGTTCCACAAGTGTATCAACACTGGTGCAAGGATGAGTGTACTGGGGGCAGCATTCTTCTACCTCTTGAGTGGTAAAATTGCTGGTCCCTAGAACTAAGAAGCTTCGAAATTACTGTATGTTTCTGGAAAAGGTTTTAATTGCTCTTACTTTCCACTGTAATACTTTTTGTCCAGTTGAAATGTTCTCCAGTTCTAAATTGAAATTACAATTGCACAGTTGGCATATCAAAATTACTGAGTGTTTACTGCTTAGAAAGTGATTCCTTTGAGTGTAACTTTTAAAGACTAACTTAGAAATTAAGTATAATACCTCAGTTTAGGGCAGATTTACTGTTTCTGCTCAGGAAACCTCACTTACGGTTTTCACAGCCCTCTCCTGCCTCTGAGGAAGCTCCAGCCTTGCAATTATATTTTTTAAAAACCTAAATGCACATATAACTTCAAAGACACAGGGACATATAATGGTGTTAGATTATTATATACCCCAGTTCCTGGCACACTGTCAAAAGCAGAACAGAGCTAACTATGAACATAGTGCTAGCTTCTGAAATAATCTTCTTGGCTTAGGTAGCCTGACAAAGCAGGATGACTTTCTCACTCTTAAAGCCACAACCTGGACACATACTTGGTGGACAACAGGGATGTAACTTCAAATGTAACAGAAGAGATTACAAAGCATTTTAGGTAGAAGGCAGAATTAATCAGACTTTTTTTTTTTTAGTTAAATTTAGGTCAAGTTAGAATATAGCCCAAATCTTAAGTTCAAGACTTGTGGTTTTTTTGTAGGGTGATGTTACACTATGTCTGCAGTGCTTCTACTGAAAATACTCTGTCCTTTATGCAATAAATTGGTAAATTAAAATGTTATCCAGATGAGCAACTGTCATAATGATAATAGCAATATAATATTACCTTCTCTGAAAAAACATGCAGCATATCTTAGGTCTTCTTCTGATACTGTAAATGAGTGAATATGGCTGAACAACAATGTGTGAAAGCACTCCTGAATACTTACTAAAATACCCTGACACTTTGATTAACATAAAGGTAGCAAATTAAAAATTTCAAGGAAGGCTTCATAATTCTTTCTAGAAGCTAAAGGAATGATGTAGACTAAGATTGATCAGAGATCAGACTAGTTTTTGACAGTAACTGAACAGCAGCTTTTTACCATTCACTAGCTTAGTGTATTTCTTATTCTTCCTATCACAGAGTTTAGAAGAAGCCTTGAAAAAAGTTCTAAAAAGCCACCTAGAAGATGTTGTTGTGGCTCTACTCAAGACTCCAGCTCAGTTTGATGCTGAAGAATTAAGAGCCTCTATGAAGGTAAGGCAAAATCTTATGTGAAAAAATTTCCTAAAGAGCGTAAATAATTATTAGGTCCTGTAAACGAGACTGGACTTGGATTTCAAAGCTTGTGTATTGTCTTTATTTTAACCTCATTTTATAAAATAAATCTATACTGGTAATCCAGGTTCTGAGAACAAGACCGAACAATCTGTACTGATTTGGTTGTTGGAGGAGATTTTTTGTGGTAGAAAGCCATAGTTTTTAGACACATGTTTATGTAAGAGAAAACAAGAAGGGAAGTGGTATTTTTCTTCATAAATTTTACATTCTTATCTTTTGTAAGCATGTTCCTATCTTTTAAAAGCTTTATCACTTCCTTTGGGTACCAATGATATTCAATGTAATAAAAAATTTATTCTAAGATGAAATAAAAATATTGTATGGAAGCACAGTATTCTTCATTTTTCTTTCTTGTTCCCTGAGGGGCCTTCAAAGCAAAGTCCATGATCTTAGTCTTGTTTCTGTTCTTCTAAATTTAAGTTTGCAGCATCAAATACGTTTTCTAAAATTTCAATCACTTTTGTCAGGGTCTTGGAACTGATGAAGATACCTTAATAGAGATTCTGGCCTCAAGAAACAACAGAGAGATCAGAGAAGCCAGCAGATACTACACAGAAGGTAATTCAGAGCAAGGAGGTGTTAATGGTATAGCATTACAGTCACAGCCCCACTTCTCCGTAGAAGCTGAGATGACATTGCAAGAGTGAAGTGAAGCTCCACATAAGATTGAAAGAGTTCTAGGAAAGGGAGGTCATACTGATTTTTTTTTTGACCTACGTAGATCCCAATACAGAAGAAGGCGGCACATAGTCACAGCTAGAACTGCATATGTCTCATGGAATGGATCATGCATTTACATGCTTTCTAGGATGCAAGCAAAATCCAGCTGCTTTTCTTCTACTGTAGCTAAGCCTTGGGTGACTTCTTAATATATCACTAGGCTTGAAAAAAAGCTTAGTGAGTTAACAACACAGATAGCATTAGCAGTAGGAACAACCAGTGAACTAAGGAAAGAAAATGTTTGAAGAGATTACTAAAATATAATGTGGCATCTCTCACATATGTAGAATTTACTGCAGTCAGTGCTGTCTAATTAAATCAAGTTTTCTGAGAGTATGAGCTAACTTTTCACAGATATTTTCATTTAATTAGTCTAAGTTAGAAGCCCAAATTAATAGTTTGATTTTTTTCAGAAGTATTTTATGATTAAGTTCAGTGCTAATAAGAACAACCAGAGATAAAAATGAAAGACAATAGGCTCACAAAATGTTTCAAGTTTTTTTGGTACTTCACAAGCAAAAGTCCAAGACATTGCCACCCACAAGATCTTAGAGAAGGACTTTTTAATCAAATTTTGGGTTTAGCCTCCAGATTCACAGCATATCTCAGGAATTAAATGACATGTTACAAATATACCCTTTCTCTTGAAGCTAAATGAGAGAAAGGAAGAAAACTGCATTTCCGGTGGGCATATTTAAGTAGGAAGTTAAGAAAGTGCTGAAAAAATCATAGAACAGTTTGAGTTGGAAGGACCTTTAAAGATCATCTAGTCAACGTGGTTGATAACTTTAAAGCAAGCTATGAATCCTTTTTCTTTTGATTTCAGTGATGAAGAGAGATCTGACACAAGATATTATCTCTGACACATCTGGAGACTTTCAGAAGGTTTTGGTTGCTCTAGCCAAGGTATGCTGCGCTTAAGCATTTTGAGTGACATTACCAATAATAAAAAAATTAGTTTCGTCAAGACTATTCCAAAGAGACATACAATAAATAAAGATTTAGGTAATGTTTGTTTCCTTGCATTGTTTTTTATTTACTTATCTTAGACCACATGAAATTGTTCTTAAACAAGCCATAATGAGATTTTATCTCAAATGCATCTTAAAAACTATTGATGCTTATTATTTTTTATCAGTTATGCTTTTAATAATTTTTTTGTGGTAACCATCTGTAAGCACTTGAAAAAAACAACAGGTATCATGTCATGTCAATTGGCTAGAAATAGAAAAAGAAGAAATGCTTCCTATAGAGCAATAAAGCTTTTGTCTTGCTGTTATGTTTCCAGCAGTTACATAATGGAACAGGGATAGGTAGCTAACGAGCAGACAAAGTGTTTTGTGAATTTATCCTCAAAAGCAGATGAGTTTAAACACTGGAGCTGCCCAATAAAAAGACCCTTTTGAAATGCATAAATATTTGATTTCGTGATTGTTGAGTACGTGTATGCAGGATTATTTTTTGGTATATCCATGTGCATTGTTTTGATTTTCAGTTTTTGGTTTCAAATAAACTTCAAAGGTGTCTATTCAATGGTCAATGAGCAAATCACAGCTTCTAAACCTGTAATTTCACATTAAGAAATACTTCCAGTGGATTTTAATGTAGGACTTCAGAAATAAGTTGCTGATGGCCTTAGAAGTGTGAGCTCTGATTGATACAAATACAAATACAACAGTAGAATATAATTGATTGACAAATGCAACATTTTTATTCACAGTATGATAGATATAACTGTATCTACCTGCAATTATGCATTAAGTTATGTAAGAGAATTATAGGGCAGAACTCTAAAATGTTGAGTTTTGGTTGACTGAATGGTTGTGATTACCACTGGAATTTTATTCATTTATGTAGGCTGACAGATGTGAAGATTGTCATGTGAATGATGACCTTGCTGACAATGATGCCAGGGTAAGATCATACTTGGCACTCTGCAGAGCTTCTTCTTCTGATTTACTTGAAAATATAAACTCTGGCTGCAAATGTTCTACCTGAATCTTGTGAATTGAAGACGTAACAGATTTGTGTGTTATGTAGCAACCTTTTTTGGAGGGAACACTGTCTTAAAAAGTTCATGTAAGCTTCACTATCTAAAGGATAGTAACTTTTCTTCAAGACCTCTCCTAGTTTATGTGAATTATGCAGATGATTTGAAGTAGAGGTCAACAATTGGAGAAATTAGATACAAGCTTCCTTCTATTTTTTACACAGTCCTTGAATCTTGAGGGACAAGAGTATACTCATGTATGTGCAGCATACTTTAACCAGTCTGAACTTTGCAGTATCTTAACTATAGCTATTGCTTTACAGTAATGAACTTTTCAAGATTATTGGGTAAACCTCACAGTCAATTTTTGAATAATTCTACAATAAACAGCTGGTCTTTCTCTTATTTCTTCCAACATTAGTGTGACAATTTTTGTTAAACTTTTTGTAAACCATGGTGGTCTTTCCTGAGTTCTCACCTATGAAATCCTGTGTCACTCTTACAATTTAAATGTAGATTGGCTTTAAATTGATTTTTAAAAAATTCAACCAAGAAAAGGCCATTAAGCAATAATACTTCTATTCCTGCTATGTAAATTAATACTCTGTTTAAGCTCAAGAGTTCAATACTGTTTTTCTTGGTACAGAGCACACGTTGTTAAATCTTTCCTAAGAGGTCTTTAGTTACTAATTCTAGAGAGGTTTGAAGCGGTGAAGAAAATGAAGGAGACTGGTTTGGCTCTTACTTTCCATTAAAGTAATTCCTGGAAAGACAAGAAGTACTTGGTGCATAGGCTTCTCCTTCACATCTGTCCAGTTAAGATCAGAGATAATTTTATTCATTTGAAGAAAGCTTACCAGTCCTAAACTCCCATGCAGACTGTAAAAATATCTTGATATATGAAAACCATCTTCATTCAAGAATGCAGTATACCCAGGAGAGCTAGATGGTGATTGTAAAATGCCTGAAAATATGTTTTCTAGCTGTATAGTGTTCTCTAGGTACTATTATGACGTAAGTGAAGTATAAAGTATAACTCGATAGAGCTAGAGTTATTGTCAGGTTGTGTAGAGTTTTGTTATCGATTGTGGCAAGGGCTAGAGTTCATTACTGAGAAATATTGGCCTACCTTTGACTGGTAGCCTCAGAAATGCAGTATTTCTGTTTGAGTTTTACTATATTGATGTTAACTTTACTACTTTATCTTCTTTGTGAAAGGCCTTGTATGAAGCAGGAGAGAAACGGAAAGGAACAGATATTAATGTGTTTATTACTGTTCTTACTGCAAGAAGCTACCCACACCTCCGAAGGGGTACGTTGGATGAAACTTTGTGCTTCTCTGCTATTGCAGAGAATATGCTATTTTGAACATAGCCTGCTTATGAACTCAGAGAAGATATAGATTATCAAAATGTGACTCTGACTGCTACAAAGGTCTTTGTAATTGGATGCATGCTTGCTGACTGAGGGTGCAGTTAGCAGCTTGGCTATTCTTTCCATACTAGCAATAAGCCATATTATTTAGATTGCTAACAAAACAAGGACAATGGAACAATGTGTCAGGGGTTCTGAATTATCCCCACCATAGTCTTATACCTCCTCCAGTTTGTTCTGGGTAAAGGGGTATCACCTAATGTCACAGGCTCCAGAAGAGTTGTTCAACCACCTCTATCCCAACCAATGGATACATGAACTCTACAATCCAAACGAAGTTCCATTCCTTGTGCTGACTCCACCAGTCCATGCAGTTCACTACTCTTTACACTGCTGGCTGAAAAAAAAAATGAGAAAGATGGCCCACAATCAGTCATCAGTGTTACCTGCTGCAGCAGTGAGAGCAGAATAAGGCAGAGACAATGCAGGGGAAATAAAGTGTTTTCATCACTATTCACTGAGTTTTCGTCCCATATTTAGTGTTTCAGAAGTACACCAATTACAGCAAGCATGACATGAATAAGGTACTGGATCTGGAGCTGAAAGGTGATATTGAGAAATGCCTGACAGCCCTTGGTAAGTGGTTTAGTAGATTGTAACCTACTATATATTCTGACCATATGAAAACCTATATTTTACTTCTGTCATACTTGCTCTGATAGGAGACCATTCTGGGCTTATCCTGCTTCATTGGGAAAGAGATGTTTTGGAACCTCTAGTCCAAACATAGTGATTTAATTGAGTTCCTTAAAGCCTGTTAAAGTTGATCAATGAGTAAATACCTTGATATTCAGGAAGGGCTTTTAAGGAGAACAGATGTGTCATCAATATAGGAAGAGCTTTACAGGAAGCTAATATGCCAAAAAGAGATATCAGAACATGCACAATTAGTATCAAAAAACCATTAGTTATAAACCGTCTTCAAAAAAACCAAAGCCAAACACACCATTCTCTAAATTTGGGGTTTTTTTTCCAAAGATGTTTATAATGTATGATTATGAATAATATAACAAATTTCCTTCTGCAGTTTTGTTCAAGAAAATATTGTTACAAGGTTCATCATAAAGGTGTATATTAAGGCCCTTTACATTACTGTTCCTTGTGAACAATACAGTGAGGCAGTGACTCACGTAAATCCCTCTTATGGAACCAAAGGTGGAATCAGGAGATTCCCACCATGTTCTCAGCTTTTTTGTCACAGAGAAGTGTACTTTGGATAAAAGAATGAATCAAATCAGATCCCTCTTAATATAAGAAGTGGAGGGCAAGTACTTTGTATAACTTGGTTTACAATCAGATCATAGCCTCCAACTCTGCTGTAAAAGACAGAAAAGCTTTCATACTTTTCTTCTTAAGAACTGCAACATCATTCTTAATTTTGTGGAAGTAAACTGGGGAGTGTTTTGTAGAGTAAACTGGGAGCCCTTGCCAGAGGGCTGTGCTGCCATCCAGCAAGA